TGGGGCCGGAGGCTCCTGCCACGCCTGGGTTTACGGTCATCCTGCCATCACTGAGAGTCCGCCCCCACTCACCCATCCATCCTCACAGAAGGAGCAGAGAGCCAAGATGGTACCAAGCACGTGTCTGCCCCCTCCTGCCCCCTCACACCACCTGTAAGGACTGCGCCACTGCTTGTAGATTAGGGTACCGCGTTATGGTTTGGATGTGAGGTGTCCCCCAAAAGCTCACGTGGGAGACAGTGTGAGAAAGTTCAGAGGAGAAATGATGGGGTTTGTGAATCCCTGATGGGATTAACTGAGTGGTAACTGAAGTGGCAGGGTGTGGCGGCAGGAGGTGGGCTTTGGGGACTTGGTTTTGGGGTATATATTTTGTCTCTGGTGAGTGGAGATCTCTCTCTCTCTCTGCTTCTTCACATCATGTGAGCTTCCTCCCTCTTCCACACTCTTCTGCCATGGTGTTCTGGCTCACTTGGAGCCCTGAGGAAGGGAGCTGGCCTTCTATGGACTTAGACCTCCGAAACCGGGAGCCCTCCAGTAAACTTTTCCTCCTCTACAGTTGTTCTGGTTGGGTCTTTAAGTCACAGTGGTGAAAAAGCTGACTAAAACAGCTTGTGAGAGGGGACGCAGTGCTGTTGATAATTACAGCAGGAAAAATTGGAACCCACCGCCTCCTTATTTAAAACCCAAGCTCAAAACTCAAAAACAGGAAGGGAGGTGCCCTTGGTATGGAGGTGATCAGGATCCGGGAAGCTGGAGGGATACAGCGTGGAGAGTGTTTGCTTTATTGAAATGTGCCTTAGTGTTGCTGTGCAACAACCCYCACCACACACACATTATCGCCTCAAAACAACATCTGTGATCTCATGATGTTGCTGGGGGTGGGCGGCTGGAAGCAGCTTAGCCGGATAGCTCTACCTCTGGGGCCCTCAGGAGTTGCAGTGGGGTACCCAGAACTGCCTGTCTGAAATGTGACCTCCACRGGAAAAGTCACCTCCCTGATGACTTGCTGCCATGGCACCTGCAGGAGAAGGGTCTCTCAGTCTCTCATGGGCTGCTGGAGCATGGGGTGGTGGCTGGCTTCCCCCAGAGTGAGGGACCTGAGTAAAGGGGGAAAGCCCTTCATGGGTCAGACTGACAACTCACAGTGTCACATTGGGGCTGTGTCACCAGGCTCAGCCCTCACTAAACTTATGTTGGTTTTTGACATTCCACTGGCCTTTCTCTGAGTACTGACTTTGCACTCCTTTCTCCCAAGCAAGAGCAGGAGAGACCACCGTGTGCAGCCAGGAGGGACATGTCAGCCACTGGGGTTCCTCCCAGGTGCTCAGTCGCTGCAGATGGGGGGCAAGTAATGAGTTCCCATCGCAGTGTATGGAGGTGGGGAAGCTGAGGGTCGACTGGCAGGTGACACATTGCATAGAGAGGGGCTCATCTTCCCCACCCCACCCCTTCTGACCCAGAGCATCCACGATCGTGTTCCCTGCCCCAGCTGGCTTGCTTCAGCATAACAACTGGCTGCTACTTACTTAAGTACTGACTCTGTGCGATAATGAACCTGGTGGGTGGGTTCTGCCCAGGAGGCTGATAGGGGGACAGATTTCCAGGAGGTGAAAGCTCGAGTTCTTGAAGTGAGATCCATGGAAAGAAAAGCAGACTCTGTGTTCTTATGGGCCGATGGGAGCAGGACTTTCAATCTCCTCAAGAGATGGAAATAAAAGGATTTCCAAGAATCTTAATCACGGGGCCACTGTGTTTGTTTACTTTTGCAACAAGCCTTGGGAACTGTGCTTGGAGAGATAAAAGCTGTTCTGGAAGCTTGTGTCTGGAGTTCCATCATGAGGTTGAGCCATGAGGAAACTGACCATCACTCACTCACTGCCCCATCGTGAGCGACTGCCCGTCAAATCCTGGGGTAGGAAATTTTGCCTCCATTTTTCATCTGCTTGTACTCAAAGAGGATGAAGCTAAATGTAAGCCTGAGTAAGAAATAAGTGCCCTGTTCATTGTGAGTGCCCAGGCTATTAGACAAAAATAGCACACAGGAAACAGTATTGCAAAGGTCAATTCTTCTAGAAAGGAAGGGACAACAAGCCATCTATCTGAAATTTTAATGAGCAGATCCTGGCCTCTGACCCTACACCATTACCTAACAATCCAGTATTGAATGTAATGTCGGCTTCCATTTCCTATGAATGAGGAGGCAGAATTCCCTTCCAAAGGCAGACCATCTGCCGGATGGACACAAGCTTTGCTCTTTGCCTTAGCTGGCTGCTGTTGACATGCATGAAGTCTTTGAGGATAGGGTGTCAGCCCAGGCTCCTTGCTTCACAGAGAGGGCAGATTAGAGGGGTGACCAGCCAGGGCTTGCAGCCAGGATTTTCTTTTTCTACAATGGCTATTTTGTTTCAGTTGAAAAGTCAGGACAGTCTTAGGGCACATTTAACCTTTTAGAGAAAGCTTTGCAACTTCTGGATTAAAAACACACACACACACACACACACAACAACAACTTTTACTGTGAAGAGCAACAGCTGAATATTTAAGAGAAAAAATAAATGGATCATTAGGAGAGAAAATAAGGCCCAAGGCACAGCACACATCAGGGCCATTGTGAAAGGGCACTTCCGTAGTCACAGTGAGTCAACAGGCCAACAGCTGTGCTCCTCCTAAAGCAGGTCTGCCATGAACCACAAAGGAAACAATTTTCAATTTTCTTACTCATTGATTCTGAAGTTCTATGAAGTCAGTAGTAACAGAATCACCTAAACATATCCTTCAAAATCAGAACCAACACCACCCCCCCAATGCCCCCCAAAAGGCTGGGGATTGGAAACCTTAGCAAACAGCCCAGGACCAGGTAGTTGAGAAAGCTGTGCATTAGCTCCTTCTGTGCTCACCACCCCAGGAGGTTTGCATGTTAATGTCACTTACCAGATGCCAAAACTAAAGGGTGGAACTCAGGGTTACAGACACAGGCTGTACCTCCAACAGAACTGAGGCTGGGCTCTGACCTACTTCTTCCCTATGTGGTGGAAAAGCTTCTTGACTCTGTATGCTACACTCTCTCATCTGGATATTTGGACATGGGATTGAAATAATGCAATGAAGCACCTTAGCACAGTACTCAGGTCATACAAAGCATATAATAAATACCATAGTAGTTAAGGAACAGCCTTATTTTTATTAAGCAACCAGCTCACACTGTCTGATAATGCTGATTTATTGTCTTATTATGAGACAGAAAAATTTGAAGGCAAAAGGCCTTTCTTTTTAGCTTGGCTTCCTAGGTCCCTACATGGCACTGCTCGTTCTGATTGAATGAATGGGTGAAACAAAGAAGGACATGCAAAGCTGGTTAATAGCAGGGCTGGATTTCAGCTGGGGCCTTACTCCAGGCCTGAAACTGAGTTCTGGGAAGGGGCCAATGGGCTAGTACTTCTGACTTTTCCCCCCACACCTTTAAAAAGCTCTACATCTGATTAGGGGGTTGATTTGCTGTTTGGGAACACTGCAAACACCTGGAGGTGTGGCGGTTAGGGGGAGATAGTGAGAAGGGACCATGGGCAGTAGAGGGGGGCCGGAGTCTTTGGGAGGCCTCAGGACCAGGATGGATTCCCTGGGTGGATCTGGCCCTGGCAGCACTAGAATCACCTGTGGTTTTGAAAACTGTCTGGCATTTGCCCATCTGCAGAGATTTTTAAGTTCATTGGTCTGGACTAGGGTGGCAGAAGTCCCCAGGGTTGGGACCACAGTAGCACCATAAGGTGGGTGCCCACCATTCTTAATAGACCCAGCCAATTTTGTCCTTGTGGCTTCTCTGCTGGTCACATGGTCAGAGTGAGGGCAACATGCCTGTGACAGAGCTAACACCCAGGGTCAGGAGGCTGTCTAGCCCAACACTAGAATTAGAAGGCAAGGTGGTCCATTCCTGCGATGGGGTGGTGTTTCTCCCAACCCCGGTGCTACCAGGTACCATGGCCTGAGAGCCTCATTCTGAAGACAAAGGAGGGCGCCCTGAATCTCTATTTTTAGCAGCCAACCTAAATACTTAAGGTCAGGGAAGTTTGGGGAACAGTCGCAGTTTACCCTTCTCGGAATCCAGGCCAAAGAAAGGAAACGTGGGTCAAAGATCCACGTGGAATTTGAAGCAATACATGAAAGGCGCCATGCCCAGGTGCCTCGTGCCTGCGAGTCCCAGACCTATCCCTCCCGGGGCGAGATGCCTGTTTGGGGACTTAGGGCCACGGCGCCAGCCCGGGCTGTGGATCGCCATTCAGACCCGCTACTCTGGTCCCGCCGGTTCTCGGCGAGCCGGCAGCGAGCCGCCGAGTCATCATTTCCAGGCTCAGCCTGGAAAGCTGGACCGTGCCGCCGCGTGTACTCTTGGCAGCCGGGCGCCCGGGGCCCCGCGGCCACATCATCCCGGGGCGGGGATGTGTGCGCTCCGGCCCGAGCCGCCACCGAGCCACGTCTGTGCCGCCGGCTCGCGCGGTCCGGGAGGCGCCCTGCACCAGCCGCCCCTGGGGTGGGCGAGCCGCGGCGCTGGGCGGGACCCTGGCGGGCGGGGCCCCCGCAGCGGTCTCTAGGACCCGCGGGACGCCGGCGGCGGGAGGGGTCGCGGGGGAGACGATAATTTGTTCCGTGGTGATGAGAACGGTGACTGTTGGCCGTGGATCCATTTCACAGGCCTGCCTTCTCTCACTAACAATCTTCCTCGTCCCCGGGCCAACTCGGACAGTTTGCTCATTTATTGCAACGGTCAAGGCTGGCTCGTGCCAGAGCAGCGCGCGCGCGCACGCACACACGGGGAAACTTTTTTAAAAAAATGAAAAGCTAGACTCGCTCCTCGCCGCGCGGGCTCTGCGCGAAGGGGTCGGAGCTGACTCGCTGCAGCAGGAAATCCCTCCGGCCGCGACGCCCGGCCCCGGCTCGCCGCCCGCGTGGGATGTGCAGCGCTGGCCGCCGGGCCCCGAGAGCTGCTGCACGGAAGGCTGGCGACCATGGCAGCGCGCCCGCCGCTCGCGTCCCCCGCCCGCGCCCTCCTGCTCGCCCTGGCCGCGGTTCTGTTCGCGCCCCGCGCAGCCCGAGGTAAGTCACCGAGCCCAGGAGGCTGCCTGCCACCCCGCCCGGGGCACCGCGCGCTGCTCTGGCTTTGGGGCTTGCAGAGTGCCCGGGCTACCCCGAGAGGCGGCGCACTGGGGCGCATCTGAGGAGCCCCGGGCTCGCGTGCCCAGAGCCGCGAGGCGATCCCCTCCCAGGTGCCAATTCCCAGGGGAAAGGTGGGGACACTTGGCTCGCGGCCCTGAAGCAGCCAGCAGCGCCTGACTTGGATGGCACAAGCTCTGGGCTACTTCCCGTCCCCTCCTCTCTTGGGTGACATTTGCTCGAACGTCTCAATATCTTGACAGTTACACGTGTTGCCCCGAATGATGCTCGTGGGGCTATCTTACGGAACCTGTCCGGTGGTGAGCCCCCCACCCCACCTTCTGGGTCAACCCTCTCGGAGGAGGTTTTCTTTCCACTCCCTGCCTCCCCCACAGTTGCACTTGGGGGACGGGCAGTAGCCACGCAGGTGAACCAGACCCTCCTCCGCAGCGGTGCCTGCTGGGATTCCCCGTGGTCTCCCGTCTTTTCTTTTCCTTTTTTTTTTTTTTTTTTAAATTGACTCTCTTACCTACTACACCCCCCTCCGCCCTTTTCAGCTCACTTCCTAGCTGTAGGCGGCGGCCAAACTTCAGCCAAGTTCATCTGTCTATCCACAGATTCTTGACCATAGTATTCGCTTACATCAACGACGTGTAAAGCGATCCTCATTTCAGAGTTAAATCAAAGTGCATATATTATAGCTGTTTTGCAGACTTAGATTTTCTCGAGTTGAATCCCCTTAAAATCGGACACCTGTGGATCTTGTTTGCATAATGAGGACTCACTCAGCAGGTGCCTTTTTAAAAATTCGTGAGCTTCCTCTGGTCCCCGCTTCCGTCGCCTTCTTTCTGCCGCTAGAGGCGCTGTCAGCCCACCAAAGAATGATTTGCCTTGGCCTCAAACTCCACATTTCTATGATTCTAYATAACAGGCATTTATTTTTCAACAACTGGCCTCAATCACGAACCGTTACCACTTTATGGTACGTTTTATYTCGCAATTGCCACTGCTACCCTCCACTCCCACCATGCCTACTGTAATGTGGCTAAAACACGGTTCTTGTTAAAATCCACACAGCAATAAAGACCAAATTGGGAATTAGTGATCCAATAAAAGATTGCACAAAGGAAGAAGGAATGAGAAAGCCCAGAAAGAACACAGCTGACTCTTGAGGAACCCCATGACCTGCAAACGAAAATAACAGTAGTCAAAAGTGTCTTGAAAGTCTTACAAATTGGTCCTTTTGAATGTTTATTGTAAAGGAACTTCCAAAAAAAAAAAAAATAGAAACAGTCCCAAAGTGTGCATAAGGTGGTCTTTRATTTGGAACATGCTCCATTCACAAAAACAAAAGTCTGCTGATCATAGGTGTTTGTTAGAGGAAAATGTCTATTGAATCAAGTGAACAATAGGAAATTATTTCATGGGGTTGGGCTTTTATCATTTTATGACTACAACTTTGGTGGAGAGAGTTTTCCTTAGAATAGATGTGACCCCAGATGGAAACCATGCATTGCTTCTTTACCCTTGGATTCTCAGTACCAAGTATTAATCAGTGCCTTCCAATCATGTCATTGGGGTTGTTTAGAAACACATAATGAAACATTTCTTCATGATGGCAAAAGGAATGAAAACTTGTTGAAGGCAGAGCACATTCTGGGTCCTCCAACAGCCTTGTCCATGATCCTGAGTTCCACACAGTTGCCCTCTTGGTACCTTCTGTGACAAATAAACCCTATCAGGCCCCAAAACAGAACTCTGGACTCCAAACCTTCCTGCCAAGGGCTTCCCCTTCCAAGTCTTCCCCAATTCAGTAGTCATGTCCTTTTCCTTCTCCAGAGGCCTGGCTCAGATGGCACAAGCTCTGGGCTACTTCCCCTTCACTTAGGAAGTCACTCTGAGTCTCCCCTTCCTCATCATAAGCAATCAAACTCCAGCATATATTCCCATCTGTCCACATCCTTCAAACTAAAATGTGCTTTCCCCCCACCCCCAATCCAGGCTGCTTTAAAAATTCCTTCTGTAGGAAACTCTTATCTCTATGGTAGCAACCTCCTCACTAGCAACTGACTTTTCCTCTCCTCCTGATGAGGTGTGTTCAATGCCATAGCCAAAGTCACTACTTTCAATCATGATTTAGATCATGTTAGTCTCCTGTTTAAAATTCATCAATGGTTTTGTCTCACTCTTGGGAAAGAAAATCAAAATCTCTTTATGACTTACTGTTTCGCTTTCTAATCTTATTCTCCATTCTGCTTACTCTACCACAGACACCTCAATATTTCTTTCCAACTTCTCAATATAGTGTTGCCATAATTTTTAAAAATTCARCGTTTTCTCCATGAAGACTTTGCAAATATCTTTCACAGTTGAGCCAGGCAGTGTCCTATAACTCTTATCTCATCCCTTTTGCAACTTTTTTGCTCTCACTAGGGTTAATAGTTGCCTCTCTTTTTTTGTATGTTTGTTTGTTTTACTTTCATTTTGTTTTCTGTGTACCAAACTGTGATACTATGACATAATAAGTAATAAATATTTGGACTCTGTCCTGGCACATAGCTCCTCAGAACCTCTGGAGTGATAAGTGTCTTTTGTATGTTTAATAAGATGACTAGTGGCTTCGGGAAGGGGTGGATTCCAAGTAGCTTCAGGATATTGGGGCTGACCAGTAGAAATACCAGTGAAAGAGGGTTGGGTCTTTCAGCCTTACCTCAATGTCCAGTGATCATTAATGGCCAATGATGTCATCAGTCATCCCTATGTCATGAAATCTCCATTTCAACCCACTATGATGGGGTTTGGGAGTCTCCAGATTGCTGAACATGTGAAGGYCACCTACATCCTTCCTTTGTCCTATGTATCTTCCAATTAGCTGTTCATCTACATCCTTTATTGTAGCCTTCATTAATATAATAAACCAGCAAATATAATACATGTTTCCTTGAGTTCTGTGAACCATCCCAGAAAATTAATCAGGCATGAGGAGGGGATCATGAGACCCCTATTTATAGCAATTTCTTGTTTTCCCTAGAGTTAATAGTTGCCTTTTCTTTTTGTATGTTTGTTTACTACTTATATCCAGTTGATTAGAAGTAGAGGTGATAACCTAAGACTATGATTAGCATCTGAAGTGCTGATCGTAAATTAAGATCCTTTGAAGATATCTCTGGGTAGATAGTGTCAGAACTGAGTTAAAGTTTAGGACACCCAGTGAATGTTCACTGAAGAACTGGTTATTGATGGGAAGAAATCCCTACATATTTCGGTGATCAGAGGTGAAGCTTTCTTTATTGARATTGAGAACAGGAAAAACTATTTTGGTTTTTGTTTTTTCTTGTCACACAACCTCTGCTTTATCTCCAACTTTTCTGGAAATACTATAATATACTATAATGCTCCTTTCAGTAYGAGCAAACACACCAGATGAACTACTCATCATTTATTTTTACTTGGTATCATCTCTCCTGGGCTCCTTTACCCTCCCGTTCCAACATGAACAGGCCACATTGTAGGTATACATTTCAGCTGTTATTGCATGACTTAGTATCAAGATGCTGGAAATTCTTCTCTCACCCTTCCCATGTTGGATCCCCCATTTTTTGAGCACCATAACTTTTTCTTAAGTTGTTCCTTATTTTTGTGGAGCACATCTTCCAGTAACTTCCTAAGGAAGAGCGTTTGAGAGAGAACTTGTAAATGTGTCAAGGATGATTTTAGCTGCAAATAACAGAAAACCCGACACAGTAACTTTTCAAAGTTTTTTCTTTCTTTCTTTACATGACAGACAGTTGTGAAGTAAGCAGTTAGTAGCTGATATTACTGGGTAGCAGCAGGTCAGTGATATAATCAGGCAATCTCCTTCATTTTTTCTGCCAAACTTAGATGTTAGCTTCTGAATCTATGGTGCTACCTCATGATTTCATGATGACTGCTGGAATTCTAAGCAGTAAAAGGGAAGAAGAGGAAAAAACAAACAAACAAACAAACAAAAAACCCAGAGCCAGTCAATTTTATTTTTATCAGGAAAATCACATCATAAGCCTTTTTAGCAGATTTTCTCATAGATCTCATTGGCCAGTCTATGACGAGGCCATCTTTTGCTGCATAGGATGGTAGAAAAGTAATATTTTTTGCTATATACACATTTTGTGATTCAAACAAAACAGCATTCTGTGAGTAAGGAAAAGATAGGAACATATGTGTTACACCATGYATGCATATGTGTATGTGTACATATTATATACATGTATGTGTATATATTTACAACTACATATGTACAGTTTCCAGTCATTCCATCCTTGTTTGCTAGTTTGATTGGGTATAAAATACCAAGGTGAAAACCATATCTCCTCAGTATTTTATAAGGTATTTCTTTGTTGTCTTTATGGCCATTACTGCTTGAAAAATTAATAACATTCTGATTGTTAATCCTTTAAATGTTGTATTTTTTTTCTAGAAGCTTTATCTTCCCTTTGTCACTGTGGTTTTTACATTTTACAATGATGTATGTTAGTGAGATTCTTACCAGTAATGTGTTGGGAACTCAGTCACCTATTTCAGCTTGAAAATTCATGTTGTAGAATATTATTTCTTCATTCTCCTGAAAATATTCTTCAATTTTCTTATCTATTTTTCATTCTGCATTTTTGTTCTATTTTCTGGCATAGTTGTTTAGCTATATTTCCCAACCCTTCTATTTAATTTAATTTTTTTTGTTCTTTTAAAATTTTTGCTACCATATATTTAATTTCTAAGTGATGTTTTTGCTGAGTGTTTTTTCTTTTATTATACTGTCTTATTCTTTTTTTATAGTGGATACCAGATTTCTGTTAACTCTGAGTGTAGTTTTACTTGCTAAGCATTCTTTGTTCACTTTATGTTCACTATTAGTTTTGAGATTCTTTCCCCCATTTGCCGTAATCTCTGACTTTCCCCAAATGCAA